GAGAGAGAGAATCTTAAGCAGGGTCCCTGTTCAGCGGTGAGGCCGAAGCAGGGCTTGATCCCACAACCCGGGATCATGACCTGAGCTGAAATCAAGAGTTGTATACTTACCCACCCAAGCTACCCAGATGCCCCTAAAAATATTTGTTAGAAAGGGTTGTTCATTGAAAAACAAATAATACAGAAAATGGCGAATTCTCTTTCCTACCCTGCCTTCAAATCAAATTGTCCAGATTTTCTAGGGATAACTGTTAGTAAACACTTCTATTGAAGTATATGTGTGTCTTAGAGGATATGTAATTGTTTTTGCTTAATAAAAATGAGATCATAATCTATATGTTCTCTGCAACTTGAGTTTTTTGTGCAAAAATACCTTTTGAAATCTTTTACATTACTACTTAACAAGCCTACCTCATTATTATTTGTTATGTGGATTTTTATACCATAAACGTGTTACAGCTTCTTTAGTCCCAATTGGGTATTTTAGGTTGTCTTCAAAGTTTTGCCCAGATATTCCTGAGTATTTATCTTCTTCATCTTTAAGATTTTTCTGTAGGTTGTTTATATGTTTATAACAGTATCTTTTATTTTCAAAGCAAAAAAAATTGCCAGTGAAGGAGGAAATGATGATCCAGATGAGTCTCTGAGCAGCAAAATTTCAGATACAGAACAGTCTCAAAAGGATGCTCAAACGGGTGAAGAAGAACAACAGTCTCAGACTTTATCACAACAGGAATCAGAACAGATTGCATTAGAAACAGACCTAAATCAAAAGAAAAGAAGAAGAAAGAATCAGGATGAAACTGGTAAACAGGAAGTAAAGAATCTTTCAGGAAATGCCACTGTTCAGTTAGATCATTCTAAAGGAGAAAAATACATAAGTAAGTTTCTTACATGTATTGATAGTCCCTATATAACTTGAGAAGACATGTACTGTCAGGATGTATGTAATTTAAATACTTCTGAGTAGCAGCGATTAATAACGCTTAAATTCTACAAACTGCCCAGGCAATTTGGGCTGATCTATAAAACACAGTTAAAATTTATACAGTTGTGAGTTGACTAAATTTTCATAAATGTTCTAAAATTAAGATCTCTGCCTTGGATATTGGAAATTGTGGAATGGATTAATGATTTGTAGGAATAGACTGTTTTATGTAAATTCCTGTGTGCTTTAAAAAGTGGATGTTTTCGTTTTTTAGAATAACATGCATTTTGTATTCATAGATAACAGTCAGTCTTTAAGGCCTGAGATGAATGAAGATGAAGGCAATAAGGAACAGAAGCTTTCTTGCATAGAAAATATAGATGACATTGTGGATTTATCCTCCAGTGAAAAAATTGAGAAAAGAACTGATCCTATCCTTTTATCGAGGTATTCTCTATACCTTTACTGACTTTGTCTACATCTTCTGTTAGTTACTGAATGGGGAGTGTGACATCTCTAGCTATAATTATGAATTTGCCTATTGTTCTTCTGAGTTCTATTTGTTTTCATGACTTTTGAAGCTCTCTTATTAGGTGCGTGCATATCTAGGATTGTTGTATCTTCTTGGTGAAATTACCCTTTAACATTTGTGGATATCATTCTGATACTGCTCTTTGTTCTGAAGCTTAACTTTGCTACAGCTGTCTTTCGGTTAGTGTTTGCATGGGCTTATTTTTTATAAAGATTTTCTCTTTATTTTTGGTTTTTAGCAGTTTGAATATGTATATCCTGCTGAGTTTGTGTTTTTAAAATGTGGTAAAAAGCATGTGAGATGTGCTGTCCTAACAAGTTGATAATTTCTTTTTAGTGTCATTCATTTTTGAGAGAGAAAGACCGAGTGTGAGTGGGGGAGGGGCAGAGAGGGAGACAGGGAATCCGAAGCAGGCATTAATCAGGCTCTGAGCTGTCAGCACAGAACCTGACACGGGGCTGGAACCCACAAACTGTGAGATCATGACCTGAGCCAAAGTCAGACGCTTAAGTGACTGAGCCACCCAGGTGCCCTGGTCCTAACAAGTTTTTAAATTGCATAGTAGAGTATTATAAACTATTAGCAAGGTGTTGTACATAAGATTTCTAGACCTTTTCATCTTGTATGACAGATACATTCTATAAATTGAGTAACAGCTCTGCTTCCATTTTAACCCCAGTCCCTGGCTGCCATCCTTCTACTTTCTGTTTCTGTGAGTTTGGTTTGTTTAGATACATCATATAAGTGGAATCATACAGTATTTGTCTTTCTGTGACTGGCATATTTCACCTGCATAATGTTTCGAAGTTTCACCTGTGTTGCAGCATGTGACACTATTTCCTTCTTTCTTTGTGGCCAAATAATATTCCGTTGTATGTATATATCACATTTTCCTGTTTCACTTCTCTCTCCATGACCATTTAGATTGTCTCCATCTATTGGCTATTTTATTATTTTCTTAATAAGTTATATTGCTTTTGTTTATGTTTTTTTGAGAGAGAGAAAGCATGCACATGTACAGGGGAGGGCCAGAGGGAGGAGAGAATCTTAAGCAGGCTCCACCCTCAGTGTGTAGCCTAATAACACAGGGCTCAGTCTCATGACCATGAGATCATGACCTGAGTGGAAATCAGGAGTTGGACACTTAACCCACTGAGCCACCCAAGAGCCCCTCTGTGCTATTTGATTTAATTTGATTTTTTATTAAAAAAATTTTTTTTTAATGTTTATTCTTTTTGAGAGAGACAGAGCATGAGTGGGGAGGGGGCAGAGAGAGGGAGACACAGAATCCGAAACAGGCTCCAGGCTCTGAGCTGTCAGCATAGAGCTCGACATGGGGCTCGAACTCACAAACTGCGAGATGCTGACCTGAGCTGAAGTCAGACATTCAACCAACTGAACCACCCAGGCGTGCCCCTCTTTGCTATTTTAAATAGTGCTATGATAAATTTGGGAATGCAGATATCTCTTTGAACTCCTGTTTTAATTTCTTCTAGATGTATACCCAGAAGAGGGATTGCTGAATCATAGGATAGTTCTATTTAAAAATTTTTTTTAAGATTTTACTTTCTTTAAAATACTGTCTACCCCCAGCGTGGGGCTCAAACTCACAACCAGGAGATCAAGAATCGCATGCTCTACTGACTGAGCTAGCCAGGTGGCCCTGTGTTTTTAATTTTTTTGAGGAGCGTTAACACTGTTGTTCATAGTGGCTGTGCTATTTTACATTCCCGAGCCAGCAGTACACAAACATACCAGTTTTCTGTAAACTGGTTTTCATTACCAACACTTGTTATTTTGTGTTTTCTTTATTTGTGTTTGATAATGGTTATTCAGACATTTGAGGTGATACCTCATTGTGGGTTTGATTTGCATTTCCATGATTAGTGATGTTGAAGATATTTACATATACCTGTTGGCCTTTTGTATGGCTTTGAAAAAATTCTATTCAGTCCTTTTTCATATTTTTTAATTAGGTTATTTTCTTTGAATTATAGGGATTTAATGTTTTTTTTAACGTTTATTTTGAGAGAGAGAGTGTGTGTTCTTGTGCGCGCATAAGCTGGAGAGGAGCAGAGAGAGAAAGAGGGAGAATCCCAAGCAGTCTCCACGCTGTCATTGTGGAGCCTGACGTGGGGCTGTATCTCATGATGGTGAGATCATGACCCAAGTGGAAATCAAGAGTCAAATGCTCAACTGACTGAGCCACCCACTCACTCCTAGGCATTCCTTTTATATTTTGGGTATTAAATTAACAGATAAATGGTTTGCAAATATTTTCTCCCATTCCACAGGTTGTCTTTTGACTTAGTTGATGATTTCCTTTGTTGTGCTGAAGGTTTTTAGTTTCATGTTGTTCCACTTGTCTGTCTGTGGTAGTTCATACAATTCGGAAGGTTAATACTTTCTTTGAAGCTGAGTCATGGCTCTTGGGTCCTTAATTTTCTAGGTGACAGACATCTAAATTATGGTTTCTGAGACACAACTTAATTTCATAAACTACACACAAAAAATACTGATGCCTTTTAGAGGACAAACAACCCTGTAATGACTGTTAAGATCCTAACTGGTTTTGTAAAAACAGTGAGCTGATTCTAAAATTATTATATACACAAGATTGAACGGTCATGAGTGGTAAAGACAATTTGAAAAACAACAGTTCTGGAGAGGAAATATATTAATTCTTTAAAGCTAGAATAATTATCCTGATGATGAGTGATGTTGAGCATCTTTTCATGTGTCTTTTGGCCACCTGGATGTCTTCTTTGGAAAAGTATCTATTCATGTCTTCCATACATTTCTTCACTGGGTTGTTTTTCGGATAAGTTTGTTAAGTTCTTTATACATTTTGGATACTAACCCTTTATCTGATAGGTCATTTGTACATATCTTCTCCCATTCTGTTGGTTGCTTTTTGGTTTTGTTGATTGTTTCCTTTGCAGTGCAGAAACTTTTCATCTTGATGAGGTCCCAATAGTTCATTTTTGCTTTATTTCCCTTGCCTTTGGAGACATGTCGAGCAAGAAATGGCTGCATCTGAGGTCAAAGATTTTGTTGCCCGTTTTCTCCTGTAGGGTTTTGATGGTTTCCTGTCTCACATTTAGGTCTTTTATCCATTTTGAGTTTATTTTTTGTATGGTTTAAGAAAGTGGTCTAGTTTCATTCTTCTGCATGTTTCTGTCCAGTTCTCCCAGCACCATTTGCTAAAGAGGGTGTCTTTTTACATTTGGATACTTTTTCCTGATTGATGAAAAGACTGTCGCCATCACTCATCATTAGGGAAATATAAATCAAAACCACATTGAGATACCACCTCACACCAGTCAGAGTGGCTAAAATTAACAACTCAGGAAACACTAGATGTTGGCGAGGATGTGGAGAAACGGGAACCCTCTCGCACTGTTGGTGAGAATGCAAACTGATGCAGCCTTTCTGGAAAACAGTGTGGAGGTTGCTCAAAAAATTAAAAATAGAACTACCCTACAACCCAGCAATAGTACTACTACGAATTTATCCAAAGGATATAGGAGTGCTGATCCATAGGGACACCTGTATACCCTAATGTTTATTGGAGCACGCTCAACAATAGCCAAATTATGCAAAGAGGCCAAATGTCCATCACCTAATGAATGGATAAAGAAGATGTAGTTTATATATACAATGGAATACTACTTGGCAATGAAAAAGAATGAAATCCTGCCATTTGCAGCATTATGGCTGGAACTGGAGGGTATTATGCTAAGTGAAATAAGTCAGTCAGAGAAAAGACAGATACCATGTTTTCCCTCACGTGTGGAACTTGAGAAACTTAACAGAAGACCATGGGGGAAGGGAAGGGGAAAAAATAGTTACAAACAGAGGGGGAGGGAGGCAAACCATTAGAGACTCTTAAATACACAGAACAAACTGAGGGTGGGTGGGGGAGAGGTGAGGGAGAGAGGCAAATGGGTGATGGGCATTGAGGAGGGCACTTGTTGGGATGAGCACTGGGTGTTGTATGTAATTGATGAATCACGGGAATCTATCTCCAAAACCAAGAGCACATTGTATACACTGTATGTTAGCCAACTTGACAATAAATTATATTAAAAAAATAATAAAGCTAGAATAATTAAAACAGTGTGTTACTGGCACAGGAACAAATGTACTCAGCAGAACTGAATGTAGTAGAGCTTGGGAAAAAAGATTTAGTAATCTGGTACATGGAAGAGGTAACATTAGAAATAAGTGGGTGGAAAAAAGAAATTAGTGGGTGAAGAGTGAATGAATTATATTCATTAGATGATGCTTGGGTGTAAAAAAGATAATATCCTTATTTCACCTTTGCTAACTTTCTGATAGATTAAAGGCTACATATATAAAACAAATCTTTAAAACTTTTAGAAGAAGGTGTAGGAAAATATCTTTGTGATATCAAGGATTTCTTAAGATATAAAAAGCAAAACTTTAAAAGATAAAATTGATAAATTTGACTGCAGTAAACTTAACTTTTTTTGACAAAGGTTTCATAAAGAAAGTGAAAGGCAAGCTGCTGTTGGGGAGGTTTTATGTATGTCTAACCAGAAAGGAATATATAAAGAGGTTTTGCTGATCAGTCGGGAAAAGACAAACACCCAGTAGAAAAAATGAGGGAAAAAATATCTGGCTAAATGCTTTATGTGTTGAAACTGGTTAGTACATGGCTATCATTTATGTTGTTGTTAGTTGAAATATTTCATAATACGGTAGTCCTCTCTTTGCATAATGCAGTGTTAACTGCAACTTATGCGTATTGGAGCTATGTCCTCGGATTACAAAACTTTTGGTTAGCAGGATACCATGCGAAGCAGAGCCTAAGTGTATAAAATTTTAATGAGAGAAAATTCCTCAATTTTACTATGACTTTACATATAGATTTGATTTGTCAACCCCATGTATGTAATTAAAACTTTTTAATTTTGTGACTTCTCAGGTGGTTTCCCAGGCCTGTTAATTTGCGGTTACCACTTTCTCTGAAGGTAGAGTTTTTAACAACATGGTACAATGAGGATCATAGAAAAGCCGAAATATTTATATTGATAGTTCCAAACTATGAAGTATCATTTTCTAAAGTGGATTTATGTATTAAAAAAAAATCTTTTAAGTAGCTATTATAAGACATGTATTACTAAAAATTTCTTTTCCCCTGATGTGTTTTCATTTGCTTAGTGGTCAACAAGATGCCACGCCATTAGCAGCTGAGACTTCAGAATCAAGCCCTTCAGATTTGCCTTTATCAGAAGTTGAAATTAGCACACCAAGTGAGGTTAATAATGCTGAAAGTAGTTGTACAGAAGAAAGCAATGTTGACCTAAGAAATAAATCATTGTAAGTATTTTCCATGGTAAGATTTTAAAATTTAGTTTGAAAATTTCATGCGTTCTTATTTAAGAAATTATAGTGTTGTTTTCTTAAGGATTAGAAAGGGACTGTAGACCACTTAATATATAATTGTACCATGGTCTAAGTGTGACGTCAAGGCTTATCACTTTATGTTTCATTACAGAAAGATTCTCTTTTTTTGTTTTTAATTTATTTTTTATTTTGGATGTTTTTTATTTCTGAGAGAGAGTGAGTGAGTGAGGAAGGGGCAGAGAGAAGGAGATAGAGGATTCTAACCTGGCTTTGTGCTTACAGCAGTGAGTCCAAGGTGGGGCTCAAACTCACAAACTGAGATCATGACCTGAGCAGAAGTTGGACACACTTAAATGACTGAGCCAATTAAACTTAACTTGGAACCCTACTGTTTGGTTTATTTATTTAATTAGAGAAACAGAGCATGAACGTGTGAGGGGCAGAGAGAGAATCCCAGCAAGGCTCTGCTCTGTTAGCACAGAACTTGATGCAGGGCTCGATTTCATGAACTCTGAGATCATGACCCCAGCTGAAATCAAGAGTTGGACACTTAAATGACTGAGCAACCCAGGCACCCCTCTTTGTTTTGTTTTGTTTTAAGGCTTATTTACTTTGGACAGAGAGAGAGCACAGAGCCTGTCAATGACCTCAATCTCATGACTGTGAGATCACTATCCGAATGGAATCAGGAGTCGGGTGCTTAACCTACTAAGCCAGCCAGGCACCCCAGAAAGATTGTCTTTCATATCTGATGTATAGTTAAGATAGGAGCTTTATGCAAAGTGGTGACTTATGATGAAATTCTAAAATAATTTGAAAGGCTAAACATTTGCTGTGATATACTACTTTTACTTGGTTTGAGTCATTTTTCAAAGCAGTAGATTTTTGATATTGATGCCTTTAAGGATATTATATTTCCTTGTATGAAAATAGTGACTAATGTCTTCACTAAAAACAGAATAAAAGCACCAAAAGAATCTCCTTTTGAAGAGAGGTATCTCAAAAATTCAGACTCCCTTTTTGTGTTCTTCTAACCCTTCACATAGGCTTAAAAGCTATTTAGTTCATGAATTATTATTTTCGGTAAAGCACAGTCACACTGAGAATTAAACTTTTTTTAAATAAAAATTTAGTCTTTGAAATAGGCAAACTATTCTTTCTATGTTTGTTTTTTATTTATTTTGAGAGAGAGAAGAGAGTGCTTGCAGGGGAGGAGCAGAGAGAGAGGAGAGAGAGAATCCTAAGCAGGCTCCCCACTCAGCGCAGAACCTGATGTGGGACTCCATCCCACAAACCATGAGATCATGACCTGAGTCAAAATCAAGAATCAGATGCTTAACTCACTGAGCCAGTCAGGTCCCCTCTTCATTAGTTTTGAATGGCTGTGTAGTGTTTTGGTGTATAGATGAATTATAGTTTATATTATCAGAGCCCAGCTGATGGCTATATGGGTTGTTTTTTCAAATAACACCACAATGGTTAGGGGCACTGACCCCTGGGCAGTTGAAAATCCATGTATAACTTTGATTCCTCAAAACTTAACTACTAATAGTCTACCGTTGCCTGGAAGCATGATAACATAAACGGTTGACCACACATATTTTGTGCATTATATGTATCGTATACTGTATTCTTACAATTTAAGGTAAGCTAGAGAAACAAAATGCTTTAAGAAAATCATAAGGACGAGGAGCATCCCTTGATTTCAGCTCAGGTCATGATCTCACCATTCGTGAGTTTCAACCCCCTGTTGGATTCCATGCTCACAGTGTGGAGCCTGCTTGGGATTCTCTCTCTCTCCTTCTCTCTGCCCCTCTTCTGCTTGTGCTCCTACTCTCTCAATAAAATAAATAAACTTTAACGTGGTGCCTGGGTGAGTCAGTTGGTTGGGCGTCTGACTTCAGCTCAGGTCAAGATCTCGCTGTTGATGAGTTTGGACCCTGAGTCGGGCTCCACACTGACAGCTCAGATTCTGTGTCTCCCCCTCTCTCTGCCCCTCCCCTGCTTGTGCTCTGTCTCTCCCTCACTCAAAAATAAACACCAAAAAAAAATTTTTTTTTCAAATCATAAGGATGAGAAAATACATTTATTGAGTAAAATCTGTGTATATGTGGACTTGTACAGCTTAAACTTGTGTTGAAAGGTCAGTTGTATGCATTCGTAGGGTAAATTGCTCAAAATGGATTCGCTTATTCTAATGTGTATGTGTCTGTGTATATACATGTACACACTTAGGATTTTGAGAGATACTTCCAAAATATTCTCTGTAGGAGTTAGACTAGTTTATATTCCCACCAACATTGTAAGAAATGTCTCCTTTTTCAGAAAATGGTGTTAAACTTGGGTTTTTGATGGTCTTGATATTATAAAATATGTTAGTATAGTATCTCCCACCCACTCTTCCTTTTTTTGGCAGGGGTATGTAATTTGATTTCATTGTTTTTATTGAGTTTTTTATTTTAAAGTTTCCTAACCTAAGGAAAAGTCAAAAGAAGTAAACAATGAACGTCTATGTATAATTCCCCTTAGATTCTCTGATTCTTAATGTTAATTTGTGCTTGCTTGCACATGCATGCACACTCTACCTCCCCTCACCTTTAATTTGTAGTTTTCTTCAAACTTATTTTTATTTTTTCTTTTTTAAAACTTTAGTTTGTCCATTTTTTAATTTTAATTTTTTATTTTTTAAATATTTATTTTGGGGGGAGCACAAGTGGAGGAGGGGCAGTGGGAGTATCACAGAGGATCCAAAGAGGGCTCTGCACTGACCAACGAGCCCTATGTGGGGCTGAAACTCGTGAACCGTGAGATCGTGACTTGAGCTGAAGTCAGACACTCAGCCTACTAAGCGACTCAGGTCTCCCTGTCTGTTTTTTAAGAAGTTATTGATGATACTGTTTTGTGGGAGTTCGTTATATTTTAGGGACACTAGTCTTATTGTATGATTTGTAAAACATGCTTTCTCGGTTGGTAGTTTGACTTTTGACTTAGCCATGTTTTGGCTATGTAGAAATTTTTTGATTTTTATGTTGTCCAATTTCTCAAATTTTTTTTTCTTTTGTAGCTCATGAATTTTTAGTTAAATTTTATAAAGGCTTACCCCACCTCAAGGTTATAAAGAATTCATCCGTGTTTTCTATATGACTTTATTTAATTCTGATCCATTTGGAATATATTATGAGTACAGTGCAAGGAGTGGACTAATTTTTAGTCCCCAGTGTTAGTTTTGCCATCACCATTACTTTGATATTATTTCTTCTTCTTCTTTTTGTTTTTTTTTGAGAGAGACTAGGCTCAAGTGAGTGAGGGTCAGAGAGAGAGGGAGTGAGAGAGAGAATCCCATGAGGGGCAGAGAGAGAGGGAGAGAGAAGCGAGGCTCACCCGATGTGGGGTTGAACTCACAAATTGTGAGATCATGACTTGAACCCAAGTGAGAGGCTTATCTGACCGAGACACCCAGGTGCCCCACTTTGATATTATTTCTGACAACATGTTATTCTGTATTTCATCTTCACTATTTTGAAAAGCTACCTTTATTATATTCTATCAAGTGTTTTGGAGTCACTTCTCAATTTTCTTTTGTGTTTCATTTATCTGTTTATTTACATGTCAGTACCAGTGTTTTAATTATTGATGCTATAGAGTTTGTTTTTAACATCTGGTAGAATATGTTAGTTACCTCCTCATTGTTCTTCTTTTTCAGTCTTCTTTGCTACTCTTATTGTAAGTTAGTTTAAAGGTCTTCTTTTTTGGCTCTGAGTGGATTTTTAAAGAATTTTTCAGAATTTTATTTGACTGGGCCTGCATGTTGGTATAATTTAAATAATGTTCATTTTTTTTAAACATAAAAACTACATTTTTTAGGGAAACTGATCAATCAGGAAGTGTTAAACTGATGGCAAGAAGACAACTGCAGAGACCTAAACCCAATTTGTCAAGGGCAGTTGGGAAGAAATCTGTTCTTTCACAAGGTAAAACAGATCCAGAAAGCAAGAGTTTACATGCCGAAACTTCAGTGGAAAAGGTATGGAATAAGAGACTTCATGGAAATTAAAATTATGAAAATTTTCCCAGACTGGGAAAAAATTTGTTTTGGTTTATAATGACACAGTAATGTGACTGATACTAGAATGAAGTTACAAAGACTTACACATTAATATTCAATGTGTCTTCCTAGTCTCCTATTGATGCATTTTCTTTAGAAGCTAGGGCATATCATTTTCAAACATCCTCAGTAGTGACAAATCTGTTTTTTGTTTACATAAGATTTTTATTCAAAATATTTTTTAAACGGTTCTATATAAAATTATATCCACAACCCTTTCTCCACAGACATATTCCTGTCTTTCACATACTGTCTCTTTTATATATATAAACATTTCTGTAGTTTATTTTTTTAAGTTTTTTTTTAAAGTTTGATTTATGTATTTTGAGAGAGATGGAGACATTGTGAGTGGGGGAGGGGCAGAGAGAGAGGGAGAATCCTTATCAAACAGGCTATGCACTGTCAGCGCAGAGCCTGTTGCAGCGTTTGAACTCAAGAAACTGAGATCATGACCTGAGCTGAAATTAAGAGTCAGACGCCAACCAACTGAGCCACCCAGGTGACCCATAAATAGGACTCTTTTAAGGAAATAGAGGATAGTTTTCTAGAGGAGGTGGGATTCGTGGGTCAAACTATTTTAAATATTTCTTGGCTTTTGTCAGATGACAGTAAAAAAAAAAAAAAAAAAAAAAAAAAAAAAAAAAAAAAAAAAAAAAAAAAAAGTCTGTTTACATTGCTTCAAGCATTAAATGCATGTTCCCTTTTTCCTATATCCCTGCCAGCGTTATATTGTCATAAATTTTTTATTTTTGCTAAAATACATTTTAAAATGTCAGTCAGCTTTTTTCCCTGTCATGTGAAATCTTATTATACTTTTTATAATACAGTTATATTTTTATCTTTTAAAATTTGAGAAAAGTGGGAAAAACAGATTGATGTAAAAATTAAAACAAATTACTTGTGATTTCATTATCCGGATGGAACTAACCTTTTAGCATACATCTTTCCAGCTTTTTTTTCCTTCCTTCCTTCTTTCCTTTCCTCCAAGAGCATGTGTGCTCATGCACATGTATGACAGGGGAGGGTCAGAGAGAGAGGGAGAAAGAGAATTCCAAGCAGGCTCCATGCTATCAGTGCAGAGCCTAACACAAGGTTCGGTCCCACAGACTATGAGATCATGACCTGAAGTGAAATCGAGTTGGATGCTTAAAAGACTGAGCCACTCAGGCACCCCGTGTATTAGTATTCATTGTTTTTTTATCCTTTGGTACCTAACATTTCATAAACGTTTTTTCATATTATTATGTTTTGAAGATACAGTCTTTAGTGACTTCGTAATTTTCTGTCAATGGGTACACCTGAATTTATTTAACCATTTACTCATCATTGGATTTTTTGTCTGTTCACGTTATTTAGCATTTTATATAATGCTCTTGTGAAAATTCTTGGAGTTTGTCTAAATATTTTCTTTATAGAGTCTTAGAAATGGTATTACTGAGTCAAAGACCATGAATATTTTTAAGGCTTTTGATTTCATATTGGGGAAGGGCTTTCCAGAAAGGATGTACCAATTTTTGTTTCTCCCAGTAATCTATGGAAATATGTTTTATAATATAGCTGTATCTATCATTTTTAAAACTCTTACAGTTAGAACAAAAAATGATATTTCACTGTTTTAATTTCCATTTATTACAATGTTTGGACTTTTTTTATGTTGTCAATAAAATGTAAAAAAATTGAATTCATAGAATCAAATGGAAAAGGATAAAGTGAATACATCTGACATTGCTGGAATGGAATATACAGAGAAAGTGAACCCAGAAACTGAGACTGTGTCTAAGTAAGTATTTAGAAAGTAGAATAAAAGTAGTAGCTTTTAGGAATGACTGTAATAACATCTGTACTGGATGATGTCTGAATTTTGTTTTCATTCAGAATACTTAAGTCTTTTTTTAACTATAGGTGTGTTGAAACATTTTCATCATGTTCCTTATGCTACTGGAGAAATAAATTATAAGGATCCATTGAGTTACGACTTAAATTTCTTCCTCAACTTACTAACAAGATTTTAACAAAGTCTTGTTAGATGAATTAATGGTTAAAAGATACATGTTTCTGGATAATTTTATTTGTAGCAGGAGGTTTCAAAAGGGAATATTTAACTTGGAATGCAGATTCAGAGTAGCCCCTGCTCTAATATGCATCTGAAGTATTATAGTCTGGACTGTACATTTATTCCATAATCTATGTCCAATGCCCTGGAAGTGTACATTACATACAAACTAGTATTTTTATTTTTATTTATTTAATTTTTGAGAGAAAGTGCACATATGTGTGTGTGCAAACTGACAAGGGCCAGAGAGAGGGAGAGAATCCCAAGCAGTCTTTGCACTGTTAGTGCAGAGCTGTTGTGGGGCTCGATCCTACAAACTCTGAGATCCAAGACCTGAGCTGAAATCAAGAGTCAAACACAAACCGACTGAGCCACCCAGGTGCCCCTACAAATTAGTATTCTTAGTGGGGAATGGTATTACATGTCTGTTAGGGACAGATTTTTCCAGTTTTGTGAGGGTATGTTTTTTATAGTCAGGCTTCCAAAATTATGTCTGTTCTAAAGGATACTTGTAATTTTATATTCCAAACAGTTTACTTATTCATACATGGGAGAGGGGAATACTGCAAACATATATGTGACTTCAGGATGACCATAATTTTATTCTTTTGTAGTTGTTCTAGTTTGAGTGAAAAAATTGGTGTTCAGGACGACGATCAAGCAAAGGCTTTAAGACCAGCACGACTAATGAGGGGCCGACTGCAAAGGCCAAAGCCAAATATAGGTAAAGCTGCTGAAAGAAAAGAAATTCTTACATCACAGGAAAAAATTGGGGCCAATGTAAAAAAGAATGAAAGTGAATCCTGTATTGCTAGAGATGTAAGTACTCTGATTCTTTGCAGTTTTTTTGTTAAACAAGTATTTAAGTCCCCTTTTACCCCCCTTCCCTTAAACTGTAAGACTGTACAGTTCTGTACATTGTTTATAAATTTAAAGCCAAAATCTCAGAGCTAGTAGCTTTGTCACTTGTGATGCCATTCAACTCTCTGCAATCCATATTTTGTGCATTTACATAATGGAGCATGTTTAACTTGCACCCCATCACTCACATATTTGAATTACCCTTCCTTTTTGAAAATATGACTAGGTATGTGACTTTTAACTCTGACTTAAACAGAGTAAAGTGGTAAAAGCTTCCTACTAAAATATAATTCCAACAACTAAAGATTATTAATTTTTGAGTTATTTATACAATAACTAGTCTTTGTGTTAAGAGTAAGAGTTAAGATCCTAGTCTGAGGTTTGAATTTGTTTTGTTATAAATCTCAAGGTCTATACTGTAATAAAAGTAATCAGAACACAGATCCCAGGGAGTAATTCTAACAGATGAGACTGAAGTGCAGTAACTTGCTTTCTAATTAGGAGGAAAAGAATGGGGGCTGTGAGATGAGCTAGAAGGTATAGCTTATGAAATTTTTTAAGGTCTCTAAAGAGAAAACATTTAAAAATGTCCCTTGAATATCATTTTATAATTTTGAAATGTTTACCATTTTCCTTGGTCTCAAATCAGGCAAAATTTTCAGTGCAGTTTTTTATAGATGGGTGTTTCATTGTGAGCCCTTAAAAATGTTTTGTTATTAAGAGTCCTGAACAGGTAGAAGATCAGTCATGTAAAAATTTTGAGTTTGAAGACATCACGTCACAATCTGAGAAAGAAGATAATTTTTTTCAAACGAATGTTAGTGAGTGTCTAAGGTAAGTATCCTCTTATTGGTTATGTAATGTTTGAATTTTTTTGTTAAGTTTTAGAAATGTTTAATCAGTTTTTTAAAACAAAAGCAAATGAGACTGATTTGTAATCTGTGTATCAAATTGCTTAATATTTACAAATATAACCTCACTTTTCAGGGCAATTCATGTCATAGTTTTCATGTCAGTTTCTCAGTTATTGGTGATTTGATGAGTTGCTTACTCATAAATTAGACCTTGAGTTAACATGATTGGCAGTATCACTTAAGATGCATATTAGATTAAATATCTATGTCCAAATATGAAATGCAACTTATTTTCTTATATTTGTTTCTTTGGAATTAGATCCACATATGGCCTTTAAGATTCACGTAAATTTTATGTAAAACCCGTATGTAGAAACCTGTACTTCTAGCCACTGCTCTCTTATATTTTTTCTTTCCCCTCTGGAACATACCCAGCAAAATCGATGGAATTGCTAGCATACTTTAGAAATTGTTTTCCCTTTGGAAATATTCAGTGTACACAAAAGTAGCAAGAACAGAATAATGGACTCCTGTGTACCTACTGTCTGGTTTCAACTACTACTAGCATTTTATCAATCTGTATGTTTAAAGTTTGGCTTTTCCTAATACTTCTTGTTCACATGATACTTGCCTGTGGCTTTTTGAGATGCTGGTCAAATCTGGCCATAGAAATGTGCTGCTTAACTCTTAAGGCAAGGCGTATGTCTGTATAAAGGGTAGTAGGGGCAAAGAGGTGGGAGTAGCAGACACCAATTGGCCTAGCTCCAATGTAGGGAACTGGAGACTTTTTCTGGATGATGTAGATGACAATTACAAGGACACTGTTCAGAGCCAGTTGGCTGCTAATCTAACTGACCTTATCGATAGATTTCTCTTTACACATGTCTCTATGTGAGTAGATACATTTATTTTAAAAGTTTACAATTTCAAAACATGGGTTTTTCCCCCCTCTCCTTTAATTTTTTAAGTTTTACCCAGAGATTCTTGAGGCTTCCTTCATATTTTACTTTTTTATTTGAGAATTCCTGATGTTTCAGTAGTAGTTTCTCAACCATCCTCTCTTCAGTTGGCAGTATGGTTTAAAATTTGATTGTGTGTCCTCTTTTTTTTTTAAGTATTCAAGAGGATAATAAAGTCCCAGTTTTGAAAACTCGGTTACAGAAACCAAAGCCAAATATAGGAAGAAGAGCTAGAAGACGAGAAGTTTTCTCAAAGGAAGAGGTATCAGAGGAGATAGTTGCTTCGGGACAATTGACAGCAGCTTTGGGAGAAATTAAGAGAGTGGAAGAAACCTTACCAAGGGAGAAGATACCACTGGAGGCTAATAGTACTAAGGAAATGGAGTCACATTTTAAAAAAACTAGGAGAAGAGATGTCTCTCCCAGAGAGCAGATAGTAGAAACGATTGACAACACTGTGGAAATGGAGACAGATTTGAAAGAAACTAGAGGAGAGATTTCCTCAAGGGAGAATATATCAGAGGTGTCTGATGTCATTGAGGAAAGAGTGACAGATTTGAAAGAAACTGGAAGAGAGATTTCCTCAAGGGAGAATATATCAGAGGTGTCTGATGTCACTGAGGAAAGAGTGACAGATTTGAAAGAAACTGAAAGAGCAGTTTCCCCAAGGGAGAATGTATCAGAGATGTCTGATGTCACTGAGGAAAGAGTGACAGACTTGGAAGAAACTGGAAGAGAGGTTTCCCCAAGAGACACTATATCAGCGATGTCTGATGTCACTGAGGAAAGAGTCACAGACTTGGAAGAAACTGGAAGAGAGGTTTCTCCAAGGGAGAATATATCAGAGGTGTCTGATGTCACTGAGAAAAGAGTGACAGATTTGAAAGAAACTGGAAGAGCGGTTTCCCCAAGAGACAGTATATCAGAGATGTCTGATGTCACTGACGAAAGAGTGACAGATTTGGAAGAAACTGGAAGAGAAGTTTCCATAAGGGACATTATATCAGAGATATCTGATGTCACTGAGGAAAGAATGACAGATTTGGAAGAAACTGGAAGAAGAGAAATATCCTTACAGGAAGATGCCCCAGAGGAGGTCAGCACTACAGATGAAGTAGAAACAGGTTTGGAAGAAACTGGAAGAGAGATTTCTGTAAAGGAGAATATACCAGAGGTAATTGATGTCACTGAGGAGAGAGAGACATCTGTGGAAGAAACTGAAAGAAGAGAAATAGACACACAAGGAAAGGCCTTACAGGTCAAGACTGTAGGTGAAATGGAGACAGATTGGAAAGAAATTGGAAAAGAAACTTCCCTGAGGGCAAAGGTACCTGTGGAGATCAGTGCCTTAGGGGAGAGCGAGATTGATTTGGAAGAAACTGGAGAAAGAGAGCTTTCCCTGATGGAGAACGTATTAGGAAAGACAACTGCTATTGAAGAAACAGAGGCAGATATGAAACAAAGTGGACGAGCAATTTCCTTGAGGAATCCCAGCTCAGAGATTAGTGCTACTGAGGAAATGGTTGCAGATTTGGGAAAACCTAGAGAAATGGACATTTCCCTAAGGAAATATGAAGCAGAGGAGACCAGGACCTCAAGACAAATGGAGACAGACTTAATGCAGAGCAGTAGTGGTGGCTGTAGCACTGTGCCTTCACTAGATACCAAAGTATGTATTTTTCTGTTTTTGGGAAAAACTATTTTTGAGTACTTTTTAGAGAAAAATTATTGAAATAAAAACCGTGATTATTGCTCTTAAATCCCTCAAAATTTAAAATCTCTGAAAGCTTAAAGTCTTCCCTAGCCCTAAATTCTGTGTTTTAAGACCTTAAAGAAACTATATATCTTTTTAAAAAAAATAATTCAAAAAGATTTAATTGTGGAGAAGTTACCATTCTTTTTTTTTTTTTTTTTTTTT